ATAAATAATACCTAGATTGTTGAAATGAAAAACAAACTGAGTGTCCGTAAAAACAATATAAGATTTTAGGGAATAATTCTTTAGGTCAAGAAAAAACTTGACTTTATTTGTATAAAAAAGAACTTTTTTTATATTGACATAAAAAATCACCCTCTGAAATCTTTTAAGGTTTTTTCAGGACAACCTCTATATGCAATTTTGTTTTTTTAAAAAATATTTTTATATAAAACTACTTATATTTAAAATTAAAGTAGATGTTTGTCGTTTAATACAGAGGATAGCTATCAAAATCCTGAAATTTTGCAAAATAACTGTTATCAAAAAGTAAATATTTTCATAAAAGAACGCTTTTCTCAACCTACAATTTTTTATTATAAAAATTACTGTCTTATAAATGCAACAATAAATAGAATATTGTTTTACTAGGATTAAGAGTGTCACTTTTTTGGCGAGACAAAAACTCATTTTTAAGCCGAATAAAACATTATTTTTATTTTATTTGATTTACATTATTTTTTCCCAGCCAAAATTTGAAAAAAATGTCAGTTTAATTTTTCAAAAATGACATTAAAAATGACATGTTTTAATCAAACTGGAAAAAAACTTAGAAAAATTATTTTTATTTATTTTAATATTTGATGAGTCAAATGAGATACTAAAACTACATTTTTCTGATAATAAAAAATTTAATACATATTAAGTAGTTAAATAAATGTACTGAATAAATTATTGTTACATAGACTTTCGAAAATAGTCTACTTATTTTGGCTTTTATGGTCCCTGAGGTTTTACTCTATAGTTAGCAATTGTTTTCAGCTAAATAATAATAATCACAAACTAGTTCAAAATTTTTCAAGACTACCCAAAATGCAAGCAAATGAAATTTATCAAAAACAATCATTTTTTGTTCATTGCAACGCGACAATACACAACCAAGAAATTACAAAAATCGAAATTTTAAGTAAAAAATCAAAAATCTTACTAGATATTTAACGTGAAAAAAAAGTTTTCCTCAAAATCTAGTCAACTATGATTAATAAGAGGGGAAGTAACCAACCCTTGGTTGGTTTCAGGCCACAAATGGCGCACAATAATTAAATGTCAATTACTGTAATGGCCGCAAGAGGGGAAGCAAGTAAAAATTAAATTATTACTACTTAAATTGACATTCAAATGTAGTTTTTTCGTGTCGTTTGAATTATTTCGAATTTGTCTAATTAGTAATTTGAGGAGGAATTCTAAAATGTTAAGTGTTCTAATGGTGGCAAGAGGGAAGGTAACATACTTAAATAAACAATTTTTTTTATTGACACAATGGCCGCGGGAGGAGAGGTAAAACCCAAAACCTCTGTCAAAACCACGGGCATATTGATAAAATATAAGTTTTTTTATTGTTTTTTTTTTATATAATGAAAGCTTACAAATTCCTTTTAATTCATCTGAACAAAAAGACGAGAATTTTTTCTTCGATTTTGCTTAGGAAAGTAAAATATCCAATCAAACAGTCAGTGCTAACGAGGAAGTCCATTCCGAACCACTTAAAATAGTAATTGGGCTTCATCTCAACAAATTCGCTATGAATATTGTCGGAAGAAGTCCCAATTACGCACCAATAAAAACACTTTACGATATTGTTAACCCATATTTAATTATGGTTAATTTTGCATAGCGCAGTTTTGTTACAATCGCCATAAGAAATTTAATTAAAATCCGGTACCAGCCAAGTTCTAACATAAAATTACCATGGCGAAGAGTACGAAGAACGAGTGTTTTGTTCGTATTGCGTATGAAATTGCTTGTCATACCAAGACACCATGACGTGTTACGGCTTGGTACGGCTCCAAATTCATACTCGATGGTCCAATTTTTATGGAAAAAAACAACCCAG